AACGAGCGCTTTTAGCCGCGGATTTTGATGAGGCATTAGATTTGGACGTTGATTTAGAGGATACGGACGATACATGAACACTAGTTCCGTTCATGAGCGATGATTCACCGTCGGCTGAAGAAGTTTCTTCCTTGACAAACGAGAATGACTGACTCGCTTCATTGATGTGGCTCGCTGGTTCTGAACTATTTTTTAAAATAATTCCATTAACTCTCTGCGATTTAACATGTTCACCGTGACGGTTTCGTTTGCGGTTCTGAGAAACTTCGTCTCGATCCAAATTGATCGTTTCAACAGATTGTTTCTGGCCATCTTTGGAAACCAACGACTTTGAAGATTTGTGAAGTTTCAGAAGATGCTTTTTGCCGGTTGATTTCATCGAATTAGAGCCGGAAGCCGAGGCTGAGGTGAACGCAGAGGCGGAATCCGAATCTGAACCTGAACTCGTGATGAAGCTGTATTCTGAGGTGCTGTTCTCCTCCATATCCCCACTTGAAGTCGTTTCATTTGGGTTGTGGATTTCGGAAATCACCGTCAGTTTTGTTGAAGTGTTCGTCGGTGGTTTCAGACGAATATTCGAGCGAAAATTATAATCAACATTGGCTAAGAATGGTGTGAAGCCGGGGATGAATTTTCCGTTCTTCTTGATCATACTGACAATATTGAGATTTTTGAGGAGTGAAGAGGAATGTTTTTTGTGATGCGAAGAGGATGATGAAGAGGAAGCAGTAGAAGTGGACGATTCGGATGAATCGGCATCGATCTTATTCGCGCTATCATCGGTGTCTGTGAAATTTTCTCGTCGTCGAACGGTGATTTTCTTGGAGATTTTCGACATTTTCTTGCGTTTCTGCTTGTATTTTTCGACAATATCGTTTATTTCATCGACAAAATTGGCGAATCCGTGTAGGCGCTGGCGTAGAATTTCACTGAAGTTACCACGTTGAGAGCTTCGACGTGTAAAATCATACGACGGTGGATAGAGCTTGTTGGTACGGATGCGCTGAAAAACGATTCATATAGGCACTCTAAGAATCCAAAGCAATTTTCGTTTAGGATTCTTATGACATCTATTCGATGGATCTTTTAGTGCCGAGGTGAATGTCATGTCTGAATCTATTCAGTGATGCAAAATTTGCAGCAAATCAAATGTTCCAAAACCAACTGATCAGTAATTCCATCAGTGGTGAGTGATCCATCGGAAAATTTTAATCATGATCAAGAAAGTGTTCCGAGGAGATAACTCTAACTTACAACGGATCTGTTCGACTTGTTCAACACGCCCTCATCACCTGATGCATCGTCTGCCC